AGTAATTTGGGGGTTTTAAGAGTAAGAAACTGAACCACACTTGGTGGTGTTTGTAGTTTATTATGGATTTAATTTGTTGATATTCTAAAAATCCTTTCTTGTTGATCCCATATTGTGTAACTAGTCTGTCAAATGAAATAAATTCTGTTCCTTCTAGTATATGTTCTACATATTTGATTCCTTTACCACTCCAATCTGAAAAGTTTATCATATTATTGTTTTGTAATATGTCAGGGTTATTCCAGATAGGTGTACGTTTGCATGGGATTAATGAAAACTCCGTTATTTTTAGAAACTCCCACCATGCTGTCAGAGAAGAGCCGATGTTGACGCTTTTGAAGCATTCATGTCGTTGGATGTTTGAGCTGATAAATGGTAGATCTGAAATCTCTAGATTATTGCAAAGTGCTTTTTCTACATTAGCCAAGGTTCATCTAAGAAGGTATGTTTTAGCCATCCTGAGATAAACTGAAGCCTGTTGGCTAAGAAGTAGTGCTGAAAGTTAGGTAGTTCTAATCCTCCTTTATCCTTGGTCTTTTGTAGTGTTTTTAAGCTTATACGTGGGGGCATATTTTTCCAAAGGAATTTGGACATATATGAATCTAGAGATTTGAGCATGTTGGGAAAGAGTGAAAACACAAGCGAAAAATGTAAAATGAGCAGTAGCGGCTATGTTTTAATGATGTTAGAGACTCAAAGCTGAGCACAGAATTAATAAAATTAGGAGGTGGCTAAAGTGGCTTTTTATTTTTAGCCATTTTCCATTGTGGAGGACAAAAAGCTTCAAACTTCTCCAGGCCTTAAACCTCGTTTGTGTAAAAATAAGGCTTTTATGAAAACACTGAATGATAAATTGATTCCTTGAAAAGTTTTAAGTTCAGTACTGAATATTACATAAAACTAGAAACAGTTGCATTTCCTGCGAAAGTGTGAATGCCATGTAGTGGAATCTGCTAAACAGCTGAAGAAGCAGAATTATCTGCTGAACAGAGGTGTAGAAGCTGAAGTGCTTGCTGAAGATGGCTGTATTTGAAAGGGTATACTGCAGAGTGATAAGAAAGCAGTGTGCATGCAAGCAGGGAAGATGTGCGGCAACCCCCACAGGTAGGATTCGAAACTTCGCCACTGGGTCTCACAGCGGCTACTCATCCCAGTAAGCCAAACCAGTTCTACTCCCAAGCAACGATATGATGAGAGAAAAAATGTGCACTGTGCAGAAGAAGCTGAATTGTGCTGAAAAGAGGTGAAGAAGCAGAACTTTGTGCTCAAAAGCAGTGAAGAAACTGAAATTTGTGCTGAAAAGAGGGGAAAAAGCTGAATTTTCAGCAAAAAAGAGATGGAGAAACTGAAAATTCTGCTGAAAAGAGCAGAAGAGGCTTAGATTTGTGCTGAAAAGAGGTGGGAAAAGCTGAACTGTCTGCTGAAAAGAAGTGAACCTGTTGAACGTTCTGCTAAAAAGAGATGAGGATACTGAAAGTTCTGCTGAAAACAGGCCAAGAAGCTGAAACTTCTGCTGAAAAGAGGTAAAGAAGCAAAAGTTTATTCTGAAAAGGTGTAAAGAAGCAGAACTTTGTGCTGAAAACAGGTAAAGAAGCTGAGGGTTTTCCTGAAAACAGCTGAAGAATCTGGAATTTGTGCTGCAAAGGGGTGAAGAAGCTGAAATTTATGTTGAAAAGAGTTAAAAAGGTTGAACTGTTAACTGAAAAAATTGTTGCCATAAGCAGGATTTGAACCCGGGCCTCACGGCATTCACACAATAAACTATATACGCAGTCTCTTTGAATGGCAGAGATGCAGAAATGTGTGCAATTAGCACATGGCTCAGTGTCTGAGTGTCTAAATGAGACACACAGTCGTGATTGTGCACTTGCAGCTATTTATATTTCAAAAACTGGGCACTGGTGCCAATTTCAGAAACTGAAAAGAAAAAACTGAACGTAACCCTAGCTCTAACTTTAACTGCAAATGAGCTGCTAATGACCTGTTGGTTTTGATTTAACTTTAAGACATTTATGCATTCACAGTTTCCTTGGAAGCTATGCTAATTTCTGTTTTTATAGTTGAGGTCTTGACTAAAAGTTGGCTTTATCAAATCTTTTATATGGTGCTTTGTAGTCAGGGCTTAAACAGCTGCGGTAAAACACACCAAACCCTACCAGCTTTGGAAAAAATGTCAGGAGAGATTGATGACGGAGTTTCCAACAGATTTAGAAACTACTGTTGGGGCTGGTATGCAGAGATTACATACCTAATTAGGTACTAAAAATGCTTTTTAATATTGATTTGGGTTTAGGCTTGGGGCTGGTAAGGCATTTGGTTTACCACTCACATGGTAAACCAAAATGTCATGTTTCTAATGTATTTTAGGTAGAATGATTATATTTTTGATTGCTAAGTCACTAAAAAACATTTTATAAATGCAAACAAATCACCTGAAGAGCAGAGTCCACCACTGAGGACTTACAGACCACAGGTACATCAAAAACACAGAGGCCTCTGTAATCCTGTCACTTGGAAATATAACTGCTTTTCAGTACTGTCGATTGCTGCTGTGGATTTCAGGCTACTTTCTCATTGCAGCTTTTAATTTTATCAGTGAGAGAATAAGAGTCATCACTTTAGTATAAGGACAGATGAAGCTGTGGGACACAACCACAAAGTAATTAACACATAAAACATCACAGAAAAGCATGAATCCTGGTAATGGTGTCAGCTATTAATGTCAGTTACGTTGCAAGGTCTACAAAGATTCACCACAGAAGTAGTGCAGAAACCCTTGTTGACAAGCACAGAGGTAAGGCATTTAGTGTAGGTGGTCACCTGATCATTAACAAGTTCCTGTCATTAGGTTTTGGGTCATCCACCACCTTTTAAAGATCATCTTCCCTTCATGAGGCAAAATCTTGCATGACATTCCAGACCCAGGGCCACTAATGGTCATTTCATATTTCTTCCATTACCGTATAATCGGATCAATACTCGTCACCTCAGCACCAAGCTTCTTGCTGATGGCCCTTTCCTCCCCCTTCCAGCCTTAAGCATGTCTACAGTCTTGTCCCTGACTCCCTTTGTCAGCTCTTTGGTCTTTATCACAGTGTTGGAGAGGTTGGAATGACAGGGGTGCTTTAGGAACATGACGAATTGAAATTTGGATGAGCCACTCAATGACATGCAAATCAATTTATAATGTTTATGTAATAGGGTTTTTTTTCTGGCTTTTTGGTATTTTTGATATCCTGTCTCTCTCCATTAAAATTAAAGTACCATAAAAGTTAGAATCTGTTAATTTCTTTCTAAGCGAGTAAAGTTATAAATTCAACCAGGAATTAAATCTAACTAACCCTTGTTTATTTTAATTACAAAAAGTTTAATTATTAGTTAGAATATTGGCTCTATATCATCATGCAAACATATGTTCAAGAGAAAAGCAACAAAGAGCTTAGAGGCATATCAGTCAGACTTTACAGGGCTAAACGAAGCAGGCTTTATAGCTTGGGGAAGAAGACCTCAGACACTGACCATGAAGGCCCATTTCTACTAATGGACATCAAAATATTTATTAGAATTCTTATTAGGCACGCACATTGATTTGAGAAACCTAAATATACCAGCCCACTGCTCTGGATGTGAGTGAGTGATGAAGCAGCATGCGTCACACACTAATGGAAATTACAATTTCTGGCTTAGGACGAGGTGTCTGATGCTCCTGATGTTCCACTTTTATTTTAGGAATGAAAAAAAAAAAACATTCGGCCAGCGAGTTGTTTCTGATTGTTTTCTCTTATTTTGTCTTTAGTGCTCCATCTGCTGAGTTAACCTTGTTAATACAAATTTGAATGAGGCAGTGCCATTAGTGCCAGACCGGCTGATCTGAGAGTTTCAGAAACTGCTTAGCTGCTGAGATTTTCCCGTACAACCATATCTAGAGTTTACAGAGAATAGTCTGAGAAGAGAGAGAAAATATCAAGTGCCAGGCAGTTCTCTGGATAAACATGTCCTGTTAATGAGGCTGACAAAAGAGAATTGCCAGACTGCTTTGACCTGATAGGAAGGCAACAAAAAAAAAAAACCCCAAATAAACCAAAAAAAAAAAAAAAACCCTCTCTGAACACACATGTTGAATCTTGAAGCAGATGCAGCAGCAGGAGAGCACACCAGGTTTCATGCTTGGATAGAAAAACGTTGCGTGGTTCGATGAAGTTTGGTTTCTGCTGTGACATTTGGATTGAAGCTGCAGCAACTGTGTGATGTGTGATGTCAATATGGACCAAAGTCTCAGAGGAATGTTTCTAACACCTTGTTGAATCATGAAGAATTGAAGCAGTTCATCACTTTTCAGTGTTTTAAAATTGCTGGAATCCTCCCAAAATTAATACGCAATCAGAACTCTCTAAATGCAACAAAAATGAAAATCAGGGTACTAAAACGTACTTTTTTGCTCTTACGATGAGCGTAGCAAAGGAGAGGCCCTGGTGGCGCTCGTCATGGTGTAGGGGCTGATGAGCCAGGAGAAGGCTGTAGTCCAACACGTTGAGCTGGCGAAGGAAGTGTGTGTCAATTTCCACCTGTCGCAGGAGCCAGGAACGCTGCTGGTCTAAACAATTAAACAACGCACAGCTCGAAAAACACAATACTGACACAAAAACTGGTATTTAATTGTTACTCCGGCACATGGACATGACATTTGCAGTGAGATACTGCAGTGACAGGCCTGGAAGAAGGTGCAATAATGCTACCTTTTGAACTTATACCCAGAATACATAAATGCTCTTACCCAGAGTGATGAACTGGCCCTCGAAGTTGAGGTCTTTGAGAACCACGATGATGTGGCTTCCCTCTGGTGCAGGCTCTGTCCAGCGACTCACCTCACAGCCCTTAATGTCATACCTGACAACACAAAAAAGGCATAACTGGATGTTTTCAAGGTTCTGCTAGAGGCTTGGACCATCGAAACGTGACCCAAAAGTTCCAGGAACAAGGTTCACCTGGTATAGGTGAACCCAATCCCTGGTATATAATGCATAGAAGGCACTACAAAGTAAATGTCTAAAAAGTGCAAGCGTGAAAAAAAAGTCACAAGAGAGTCACGGACAGCACCTGTCGCATCAGCATCCAAAGCCATGCAAGCATGTGCTAGTCTGTTTGTAAGAGATCGGAAGGTTTGCAGTTCCTGAGCAATAGTCAACTTCAACTTATCGCATATGGATGCTTGTAAAGGACATCCTTCCAAGCTTACCTGGCATTGATGCGATCATCTGGATAAAACACACTTTGCATGACAATGAAGAACTTCTGGAACAGATAAATGGGAAAAAGTACTTTATAATCCTTTGTTTCACATTGTAATTCTCAACAGAACTGAACAGGCGTAAAATGTATCTGTACCTTTCGTCTTTGTGGGATTTGGATCCTGTGAACACCTAAAAACAAGCAACCAGTTACTCAATTGAGACATTTATTTTAAGTGGGATTTATTTTAAGTGGGATGTGGGATTTGCAACATAAAACCTCTTACTCTAAAACCTACTCTACAGTTTATTGCAAATGAGAACTCGCTGTCACCTGTTCAATTCAGTTTAATTCAGTTTTATTTATACAGCCCCAAATCACAACAAGGTGCTTTATTTTGTAAGGTAGACCCTACAATAATACATACAGAGAAAAACCCAACGATCATATGGATTATCCTTGCTCCCCTATGAGCAAGCAGTTTGGCGACAGTGGGAACGAAAAACATCTTTTTAACAGGAAGAAACCTCCAGCAGAACCAGGCTCAGGGAGGGGCGGCCATCTGTGGTGACCGGGTGGGGTGAGAGGAGGAAAGACATGCAGTGGAAGAGAGCCAGAGGTAACAGGAGATAAAGACAAAACCACCATGAGATGCAAATCACAACTCTAGGTAAAACAGAAAGAGAGTCCACCAGAAATACACGTACGATAACATCCAATACTTGTGATACTTAGACATACCAGGACAGTGGTGTAGCTTCCCTATGGAGGCTGAGGTTTATGATCCCTTGGTTCACCACCTTAGTCTGCCAATCCGAGGGCACTGTCCTTGTTTTCCATGTTTTGTGTTGGTGCATGGAATTGGTGACAAGTCGCATTCATCCGAGGGATTGTTCATAAAAATGTGTTTGTCATAATCTGTTCTTCAATTATTCACTGAAGTTCTGTACTGCAGTATTATTAAAGTTTAAGTTACTCATACAAGTAAAAAGAGCCAATGTTACACGAGTAATAACACATGGATTGTTCTTCTCATTCGCCTTTCAGGGCTCCATACATTTCCCCTCTGAGCGTTCAGTCTAGGTCGATCATTGAAGGCTGACATTTCTCTCAGTTTTGGTGTTTTCACTAGTTACAAAAATCTTTTGTTTTTTTTTAAGTTTCATTTTTAATCACTTTCTCTTTTATTTTGAAATTGCTTTCATTATTTTATTTTCCAGGCACTTCTTACTGGCTATGTTTGCATAGAAAAGTGCTTGATATTTAAAATTATGAACAAAGAGGTCCTACCCAAAAACGAAGTTCCTTTCATTTCTCATGAGATCCTAAAACAATAAGAAGCTAGCTGACCTCTTTTGTTAATACAAGTTAAAAGCAGCACAATAATGGAAACTAGTGGGCTCAACAGATGATAAATATCGTATTTATGAAGCCAATTAATCACAAACCTAAGATAAGATACAAATTTTTAACACATGTGCAATCAGATACATGGACAAAAGAGGATAAAACTAATATTAGAAAAATCAGAAGAGGTCAAACACATGATACGCTGAAAGTGACAGCTACTGCAGACAAAGCAGCACAGTACGAGTGAAAGGAAAAGGATTCACAGGACTTTGTGTAAACTTTAAGAGCTTTGCTCCATAACACTGGAAAACAAACTTCTATAAACCTTTTTTTAACCAGAAAAGAAGGGCAGCAAAAATCACAGCTGTTTAAGCTGACAGTTCCAGTAATCACAATGTTCAGTAATAAAGTACTTTTCAAATTGAAGCTAACAGGGGAAAAATCAATAAAGTTGATTCTACTAATTCATAATTGTAATCATTTTCATTCACTACAGACAGACTTCACACCTTCTTACTGTCTGCACGCTGAAGGGATTTTATGCCCCTTGCAATACGCCACACCACTTTCTGTGGAGTTGCTGGGTTGGTTTTGGTTTTGTTCGTGCTGATCTGTTGTCTCGAACGTAATCTGCTCCAGAGCATGTTAGGCATGCATCAGCAGCAAGATAAGACGGGAACCAGTGATCAAAACCAGCCAAGTTTAAACCTGAAGTGACTTCCTACACACGCCTTCTGCATAGCACGGGCCTCTGCTTTTCACTCGCCCACTGTTTGGTGTATTTATAATAGGGAGCTAATTTCTGTTGCTCTTCACTCGCCCACTGTTTGGTGTATTTATAATAGGGAGCTAATTTCTGTTGCTTTTCACTCGCCCACTGTTTGGTGTATTTATAATAGGGAGCTAATTTCTGTTGTTTAACCCTTGTATGGTGTTCGGGTCTGTGAGACCCGTGTTCAGTTTTTTTCAAAAGAAAAATTAAACAATTAATTATTTTTTCACGTGTAAATGTGTTGTGTCTTTCCACTCACTCCACTTGATTATAACTGATTTATTTATAACATTTTATATAAAAGAAAAACGAGAAGCACATTAATTCATAAATGTGATCTAACAAAGGTAAAGGGAAAAAATTAACCATGTTTGCTGTTCATATGTCTTGTAATTGGGATGAAGTAAACATCTGTTGAGTAATTTAACATAAAATTGTTTGATAGTGTTAATTTGGAAAGCCAAAACTCTAGCGGGTCCACCAGACCCATGAACACTGGCTGAGTAACAAAAATACGAACACCACACAAGGGTTAATTGTTGCTGCAATTTCAACGAGGTAAAAATCAAACTGCAACAAAGAAAAATGTGTCATTGTGAAGGTAAAAGGCTTTCGGTGGAATTTCCCCTGCAGAGTTTGTTTAACATTGCACTGAAAAAAGGGATCATTCATCAGAAAGCTGTAGGTGTGCTGCAAGTGTTTTCTGCTCTGATAGGACTACCACAGAGATATTATGCCTGTGCCAAGATATACAAAGGACGAGTGCAGGGTAAATGTCATCCAAGATGGCATTTTATTATTTGTGTATCATGGCACAGGTGTGAAAGTGCTGTGGTAGGCCCCGGGGCAGGTTTATTTTTGACTAGTAAAACGCTATATAAATACAGGCCATTTACCATTATTCTGTAGCAATTACACAAGAATATCCAGTAATGTCCCTGCCTACAATTAAACACATTCACTTACCGAAAATTGGGGGCAAGCCTTTTACCACAAACTTAGTCACTGCTCGGTGACATTCGTCTATCCTGGCCTAAAAGGAGACGCTACCGGTAGACTGCAGTGAGAACTGCCAGCATCTGAGCCAGCCAGACTCTGGACTCTTGGACTCTTAAAATGTGCCCACTATACTGTAACACTGTGAACAGAAGCATCCAGTCTAATGTGGAGGGTTGACCGGACCCTGGGGATTGTGAGTGATGTACAGAGATATTTCTCAGTCTGTGTGTGTGGTACCTAAAAACTTGACCACCAGTGAATGTGGGTATTTCCTCAGGTGCTCCATGTAGATCTTCAGGTTGCCCAGAAGGAACTTAATTTCCCTTTTGTTCTGAGTCTTTAAGAAGAAGCGTTTATCATTCCTAAAAGTTGAAAAACACGGTGTCAGTATATCTCTCTCTTATCAGTGACCAGAGATGGGCAGTAACACATTACTTGTAACAGCACATAAAATAATTTTTTGTGTGTGTTTACACTCACTCTTTCAAATAGATGCAAGTAAATCGCATTACAGTAATGCGTTACTTGTAACGTGTTACTGTAATCCGATGACTTTTTTCAAGTAACAAGTAAAGTAAGGGATTACTATGACAAAACTGTGATTTTTTTGCGAGAATGTCTCATGACAGTGACATAGGCAAGTGCGGCGTTCGTGACAACAGCTGTGTGCAGATCAACAGTGGATAATATATCGAGTGCGGGAGAGAGTATGACCGTGCAGCGTTTAAAGCGTGGAAGTATTGACCTCACTTTAAGTTTGATTCCATAAAAAGTGACAAAAACATTACCGTCCATTGTGCGTGGGAAGAAAACTTCTTTTTACAGTGAAAAAACCCCTAAACTTCCAAGCAAGCACCGAGTGCGCACCGACGTAATGAGAAATTCACAGAGAAACTCGCGGATTCTTCCACTGACCGCCGCGGCACACCTGCACCAGGGTAAACCTCCGCCTACCGCACTCCTGCTTTACAGGTGAAAATAGAGCAACAGGACTGCTAGTCTTTGACTTTATTTATTGTGTGTATTTATTTAAGCACACATATTGAGTTCCTCTTGATACTTCCGTACACTTTTTGGCACTTAACTACTTCCACAATTTTCAGCCGATTTTCACTGTTCAAATTTTAAACTATTCTGCTACTTCTGGTAATGTGTGCTATGTCTTTTGGTATTTTTCACTATTATACTTTTTAAAATATTAAGCTTAATTTGTCCCATTGAAATGAATGGGAAACTTCTGCAATTCTGCTAAAATGTTCTTGTTTTTGAAACTTAACTACTTCCTCATATTTTCACGTAGAACAACCATTCAAAGTTTAAAATGTTCTCAAATTATTGGGCTATTCAGGTATAAATCAGCTTTTTCAAATCTTTTACCGTTTTACTTTTATGCCTCTTAAAGTTTTCAGTTGCAAAATTTTGATTTTTCACAAAATACATGCGTTGTTATGGTTGCTATTGCACTTGGCTTCCAGTGTGCCACTGAAGGTTTTGCAGTCTTCTCTTCATGTCCGAACAACTTCTTGCTACTTGCTCAATTTTCACTCAACTTCCACAAATTATACATCAAAACGTAGGTATTTTTGCTGGCTTTCCGAAAATGTCACTATCATTGTTGTGGGATTTATAGAATTTTGGCAAATCTCTTCAGACCAACACAAAGTCGCAAAACTCTCCATAGAAAGTCAATGGAGAGTTTGTTCAAAATCACCGCTTGATTTCTGTAATGAGAGGCATATTCGAATCGTCATATCTCCTTAATGAAGCAAAGTTAAGACATA